CCTCCCTCCTTTCCTTCCAAGCCCCCTCACCTGCTTTCATCCGTGCAGGGAGGAGGCACATCGTCGTTCCCGAGTGATCTAGCGGTGATCATTAGTAAGGTCTGCACTAAACCTTACTAATGATCCATCATTCGGCCGGAGCTCAGAACTGACAGAGCTCCGGCCGGAGCTGACAGGAGCAGCTCTGCGGTCTGCATCCGTCGAAGATACAGACCGTGTAGCTGCTCCCACAAGTCGGGCACGTGGCCCGTGATCGTGTGCCCGACTTGTCAGCTGGCTGCGGGCCACTTAGTACCGGCTCGCGGGCCGTAGTTGGGCCGCGGGCCCGTACTTTGAGACCGCTGCTCTAAAGTGTCCCCACTGGCAAATTTTCTTTCTATTCCTGTTCTGGTGCCAACTCAAAATATTTGATCTTCCTTTCTTTTCAGTCACGGTGATAATGGTCACCGGGACAAATAGATAAAGTAAAAATGTCCCTAGTGGGAACACCAACAGCAATAAAACATGGCAGGGGTTCTAAAACTCACCAGTTTCCAAAACTAAAAAAAGATGGCTTTAGATATACTTAAAAAATTGTATGTAAATCCGGACAATTTTTTTTTATGTGGTCTCCTATGGACTCTTAAATATATTTTGTTATATCCGTTTGATAAGTGCAAAAAAATACCTGTTGATCTTGTCAGAAATCATGTGCACCTATAACTATCTGTGCACTCTGCCTGTGCTGACTGTTATCAGCTACACTATTCTCAGTCTAATGACTGCATAACCCACGCCATTCTATGGTATGGACAATAGAAAAAGGGGTTAAATATTTAGAAGTCGTTAACCAAGAACCCAGATGATCAGCCAGAAAAAATTCATACGTTCTTGTTGTATTACATGTTTCCAGACACAAGAGGGTTAACATTGCATTCAAGAAAATAATATTTTGATATTGAGAGTTCAGTAATGGCAGCCTCCATATTTCACATGCTCACTGAGTGAGCTCAGAATGCAGTAATGATGTAATTGCTGAATCTGGGTAATTGCTAACTAATGTCATTACACTGAGATTTTAGTGAATTGGGATGATTTCAGCAGTAAAACAGAAATATTGAACACTTTTGCTCCAACTAACCAATGATAAATAATGTGCACAGCACAGAATTCCATTTATTAATCATGGCGAAAAGCCAATAAAAAGGAGTGATCTATTTAATTAAGGATTTGAGGATATATAGAAAAAGCATTCAACTTAAATAGGAGTGATTTATCAAGTCATATCTGCGTTAAAATGATGTCTTAATCAAATGTTAATTGTCAGATTGTAATTAGTTGTGGCTTTGGATAAACTGAGAGAACATTCATAACCTAGAATTTTCTTGTTTAATAAAATATGCACATTTAAATTGCAAAAAAATTAAATGAGTGAATTAATTTATTCCCAGGGCATCTGTGAGATGTTTAATTGGAGAAGTCCAAATTACAGCTAAAATCATTTAGATTTCCAGCACTGCAAACAAAATTACTGTTCCAAAAACAAATGTATCAGTGTTCTTTACTGTTCCTTAAAAGGTTATTTAAATCCAACTATATTTTGGCAGCTACATGCCTTCAAAATAAAAATACTACAAACCAACTCAGGCAACTCGTTTAAAGCAGATCCCTAGCTAGCAAAACAATCTGTACCCCTGGTCCAACCCCTACCACCAGTCAACGTGTACCCAAATTTAAATTTTCTTCTGCCCTGTAAATACCTTAATTCTGTCGCTGAACATCACAAATACTGCAGTCAGCTCAGTGGGTCCATGTATGGGCCCATTCTAGTGATACATGCTATCAATCACTATCCTAGAGATTGAGACTGGGCAGGTTGCAGAGAAAACATAGACTTGACATCCAGGTTGCGAGTTGCAACCCATTCTAGCTGTGAAGGCTTTGGATCACTTCACTAGTGAAGATCACTCCACTAGTCTCCACTAGTCACACCTAAGGGTTTTGTTGTGTGTTTCCCAAAGCACAACAATGATCAACATGAAGAATCCCATTATTGACACCTATTCACACCTGAACACCTGTGTTGCTTGTAGCTCGTAAAAGTACATGGGTGTTTTCCGTGCAAAATCATGCATTTTTGGCCCCGTAGACTGCAATGGAAGCGCCTAAAAATGCCTGAAAAATGCACCCTCACATTCTTCTAGTAACTAGCTTTCCATTCCATTTCCACCAGCTCTAGTAAACTGGAGTTTTGCTATAAATGGTACATGTTCCTGCAGGTGTTGCCTGACCTGTGTTAGCTATACTGTTCACCTTCAACACACTAGTCAATTATTTGGCATCAGATTTGCCCATACACTCTTATAATGCAAACAAACATTCATCAAATGGAACAAACAAATGTGGATCTAAACCTTTGAAACACCAATTAAAATGTTTAAATATTCCAATAAAAAAAATTACATGACTTAGCACTGTTTTGCTATGTTCTAGTTTCATGTTGTATTACATAGACCAAGCAGGTAATGCTGAATCTTCAAGTGACACTAAACTCAGGAGTTAAATCTTAAAAATGCATTTAAGTACTGTAACTACTACTGTAACTGTATCACTCGGCTGTAGATCCTCAAATCATCTCTGAATTGGTGATGACACTGTCCTTCCTTCTGGGGGGCGGCTACTTTTCTTGCCCATGGTCGCAGTGTCTGCTGTAAAGTAGCCACTACTGCAAGTTCACTCCTGTGATGGACTACAATCTCACGGCTTTTTGGCTAATTTGTACTTACAGTATAGTCTATCACAGGAGTGAGCTTGGAGCGGTGGCTACTTTACAACACACACTGCGACCATGGAGAACAAAAGTAGCCCCCCTCCAGAAGGAAGGACAGTGTCAGCACCAATTCAGAGATTATTTGAGGATCTACAGATGAGTGATACACAAATAAGACACATTTTTGTTAATAGTTAGGGAACTTGAATGTATTTTTAAGATTTAACTCCTGAGTTTAGTGTCACTTCCACCATATCTTCAGTAAATTTAGGTTCATAGGTGTCCTACTCTTAATAAATATATACTACAAATTATGTGTATCTTTTTGTTTTGATATGTATGAACAGTCAAAGCTAAGATATTCTATGAGAGGCTATTACTGATTTATTTAATACATTTTATTATTACTGTTTATTCCATTGTTCGTTTTTTTGTGATTTATACAGCTTGCCTTTGCTTACAGCTGCATGTTATACAAACAGAAACAACATTTAAAATATACAATATGTATTTTTGTGCCAGGTTTCTTTTTTAACCTTCTGGGTCCTATTCAATAAAATTTACGTCCTGTCCTGTAGACACGACAGTTGAGAGGAAATCTTTGCAAATAAGGTAATTACCCTATTAGACAGTTGTCATCTGAACAAATATCCCCCTTGATAGATTTCACTTCTATTTCTGTTCTGGTGTGTAGCTGACAGCGTCCTTAATAATCAGTGACAATGACAATGGGGGGGAAGCCTGATTGGGATGCTGAGGGACTAGTTCCTCATTAGATCTGCTCTGCTACTGATTGAGAGCAAGCAGTGGGAAGATTTAATAGCCAATAGCTATTAGCTTTGGAATCGATCCACTGCCTGCTGTCAATCCCAAGGTAGCCTGGCATGATGGGGAACTAGCCTCTCAGAATTCCCCACCAGGCTCAGCCAACTATTACTGTGAGCATCTTTGACGCCATCCAGCAGCTGACTGGAAGATTACCCAGCCAACAGCTGAATGTAAACAACAGGAAAGGGAATCCTGGATGACATCATTACCCATATATGGCTATATTTAGGTAATTATGCCAGCCAACATCCTTGGCTCTTTTGTTTACATTCTGCTACCAGCTAGGGTATCACCTGGCTACCAGCTGAATGAGGAATCTCAGGTTCTTAAAGTGGCAGTAATAAGAACTATCTGAATCTGCTGCACGTGTTGGAACTGCAACCAAAACTGTCACAAGGCTTGCCACATGAATTAGGTGTAGATTGTTTTAAAGGGACCATACCACCAGAAAAGTGTTGTACATGCTTTCAGAAATGCACCCTACTGTGTTTTTCAAACGTCACCGTTTCCACTGGAATACTTCCAAAAGGATTTTCTTTAAAAAAAAAGAAAACAAAAAATACAAACAAACTCTTAAAATCAAAGATTTCAGCTACACTTACTTAGATCTTAGACCCGTCATTTGTCTGTCATTAGGGCACGTCCAACGGTTAGAAGAGTTTCCAATTACCGTGTCTGTCATTGTTCTTCAGTGCCTGGAAAAAACAATATAAACATTCGTTAAATGATAAAAAAAATATTCTTAAACCAAAAATTCAAAGAAATGTCAAAATATTAGCATGTATTACATTCATAGAAATGTTATATTTATATATTTTATTTTCGATCAGCTATAAACATTACATATTTGTGTATCCCACCATAAAACGTGCTATTATCAAAAAATGTTAGCTATAATCCTTAATGCCCAGGACATAGAAGACATAACTCTAGGGCCTTAAAGAGAATGCACTGTTGTTCCCAGCCTATACTTATCTGTTTTGCTGTTTACACAGCTAGTAGCTCAAGCTGAAAAGTACACAAAACTGAATGGGCCATAGCAGTTCACCCTGTATTAAAGGTTGATTTGTAAAACAAATATGTTATATGAATAGTAAAAAAAAAATATAATTCATGTAAAAATCTATAAACAGCAAAATTAAAGTATTAAGGGCCCATTCACACCAACATGTTGGAAAACAGCGCATTAAAAACTAACATAATGCAAGAGCTATGCCTTTTGCTTGTGTTTTATGTGTGTTTTTGCCTTCCTCTAGACCAGGGATGTCCAAACCCCGGCCCTCCAGCTGTGGTGAAACTACAAATCCCATTAAGCATCTCTCTCCAGGAGTAATGTCTGTGGCTGTGAGAATCTTGCAAAGCCTCATGGGATTCGTAGTTCCACCACAGCTGGAGGGCCGCAGTTTGGACATCCCTGCTTTAGACCAAAGCTACAGGGGTTGTGACAGGTTAAACTGTATGAACTTCAGTCTTTTTTCGCCCTTTATAATCATGTACGGTACACATCTTTAGTAGGTTCGGACTAAACTCAGTCCAGCTCCTCCGAAGCAAGATGGAAGCTCTGTCTGCAGCCACCCGATCAGCTTCATACTATTCGTCAAGACACACTACAAGCATCTTTAAGAGCTACATAAATATTATCAGCACTAATTATGTACTATAATTTGACCGTATGTGCTCCTTATTTTTATTTGATTGCATGTGCTCTTTCAAGATATTCCAGGTGCCTCTATCTCTTGCATTGGGGTTACTGGGTCAGTTTCTCTCTTCTCATATCAGTTTCTCTCTTCTCATATCACTGCTTGAAAGGGCATTTTTACAATATTATCCTTCCCTTGTTCTCCTGAGGATATAACACTCTGAAATGCACAGAGAGAACGGGGCTCAGCCTTCCACCATAAGAATTCAGGCTAATGGACTTCTGGAAATTTTAGATATTTTTTTGTGAGATTGTACTGTGATAATTTATGGGGAGCGGTATATGTGGAAGGATCTTTATTCACAATGTCCATGTAACCGTTTTCTTAGTTTTTTTGGATAAATTAAGAATCGTTTTATCACATAGATTTTTTTATATTCATTATATAAATAAAAAATAAATCATTTTGGTGGTTTTCACAGACATCTTTGGTTATGGTACTATTACTGTATTTTGTTTTCTACGTTACCATTTCTGGTTATATTTTCTTAGCATGTAGCTAAATTGTATGCTTATACTCATTAATTAGGCCACATTTGTTGGCAGGGGCGGACTGAGCCAGGGGACTGTGTCCAAATGTTGACAGCCAAGGCAGGTGATTGGCAGGGCACAAAGCATCTGCAGGGCACACAGGCCAGAAGCGCACAGAGGGAGCCCGTAGAGAGGAGGAGCCGAGCGGTCGGATGATTAAGCAGCCTCTGCTGATCAGTGAGTAATGCTGATGCTTGAACTATGTAGGCTCTGTTAGGCAGTATATCAATCTGTTACTGCTAATTGTTTAAGGTATTCCTTGTGGCCTCTAGATGAACCCCAGGATTCCAAGGAGCCCCAATTGAGAAATTATGATTTTTAACTATAACACCAAGGTACAGGGCTGTATTTAGATACTACTACCCAAGGTAACTCTGCCTGATGTTGCCTATCTGTACAAGCTCTTGTGCACCTTGTGGCATGTTAGTTTTTTTAGAAATTGCAGTTGGAGGAAGCCTGTTTTGTTTCTTAGTATTCAAAGCATTTGATTTAAAAAAAAAAAGCATAATGTGGGGATATTGAAGTAAAAAAAAGAAATTGTATAGTGTATTATATAAAATGTATAAAATGGTGGGTGATACAGCAGATAGAGTTATTACATTCAGGGAGCCTCTGCTGATCGGCTGTGCTCATCTTGCCCATTGTCTGCAGCTCCAGAGAGTGGAGCATAGGGTTGCCACCCATACGGGTTTCATTCGGGCAGTACGGGTTTGCAATCATGTGCCCGGGTCTGTGCCCACCTCCCGCCCGGGCACATAATTCAAACCGTACAATGCCGCATACTAGCATATCTTGCGGCGGGTGGCGGACGCCGGGTGGCGCTGTTTCCTGTCCCTCGACTCTCCCTCCCTCCCCTGTTTCTCTCCTCCGCGGCTGTAGTGGGAGGAAGTGACATCAGGGACAGCTCACTTCTATCCAACTTTGTAGAATGTGAGACCTATTGTCGGTTACAGATTTCATCGCCAAAAAAAACTTGATGGGATTAGGTTAAAATGTGTGACCATGTGACCGGTCACACATTCCAACCTAGTCACAAACTTTGATAGAACACCGGGTTTTGGAATCCTGTGCTCGGGTGTGAGCCCGAATCACACCTGGGCACATTATTAACAGCGGACTTGTGGCTCCCTGCTGGTGCCTCCACTGTCGCTTGTCGAGTCCCTCCCTCTGTTTTTCTCCTCGGCGGCAGGAACTAGGTGGGAGGAAGTGACATCAGGGAGGTCCTCCCAAATCATCCTCCGTCTCCACCATCTGGGAATCTGGGACCAAATAGCCGGCACCGCCCCAGTCTCCACTACTACCAGGTTACCGT